ATGTTCATGTTGCTGCAGTCTGACCGCTAGATGTCGCTAAAAGTTACACACTGTAGCTTTAAGTAACAAATGTGTGTACTTTTGACACCACTGCTCAGTTCTCACATTTCCTGTCTTGGTGGATTTTGTTCACTTAATGGTGTTTAATATGTCCATCGTCTGTAAGTTTTTAAAATCCACAAGTCAGTACTTGCTTGTTATATATCAGTCAGAAGTTTATAATATAGTTTATGCCCCCTTATGTGAGCAATGTGTCACTGTTTTACTCGCTCATGAGGTCATATAATCATCTAACAAAATATTGTCACTAATACACCTAATCCTAATTTTACATTCTTGCAGTGTCTTTTTTTAAATTGCTGAGTATCCTCAATCACCTATAACCTTATAAATGGTATAATCAATGGTATTCAGTAACCAATTTGACTCTGACCACCTTATTAATCCCTCCAGGTGAAATTCATTTGTATAGCACAGAAGACAAATGGACGTAAAAAAGAGGGGGAAAAAATCCAAAAAATATAATGTATGTAATAGGTATATAATATATACATACAAAATTCCTCTTTAAATACTAGAGAGGCTAAACTTCCCCTGGAAGTTTCAGAAAATAATTGGTAAAAATGCATTCACAAACTTCATGAATGTAGCCATTAAACTGCATTTAAGATGTGCCGGATTCCATGAATATGTTGCGCATTAATCTTCTGTTTATTCTGCTCTTGGATACGATCTCTGGAGCAGCAGGACGCTGCCTGTCAGCCTCTATGAGAAATCCCTGTTAATGTTTAAGCCTCAGCGAGAAAATAGTCCTGATTGGATAACATGGCAATATACGTCACCACCAGAGAAGCTAAACCTCTAAGGGGCTCTATGCAGTAGGGGCGGGTCCTGAAGCTGGCTGCTTGAAGCTGATTGGCCAAAATACTGAAGGATTTTTGACTGACAGCAGCCAGACAGAGGTTTTCATCATGAGTCGAGAGGGAAAAGCGATCATTCAGCTGCTGCTCTCTGAATCAGTGCAGGCTATATGGTGTTAAATAAATCAAAATGTCGCGTATTGAATTAAAAAATGTTGAAAAATAAAACATTACTACAACGGATGAAAATATATGTTGTGAAGCGCTCTGAAATAATAAACTGCTATAAAACTTACAGAATCTTTCCAAATGTTCATAGAAAGTTGAAATATGGCCTCTTCTTGTGCTGAGATCTGCTGCACAAGTTTCTGGATGGACGGAAGGTCAAACACTCATCTCCACCTTCTTTAGAGAGTTAAGCTGCTGCGGGGCGGTCTACTGGATCACACCAGTAGACCAGCCGACCCATCTCCTGTCTGTCTGCAGACTTTAAGTCCAAGCTGAAACCCACAGACAGCATCCAGATGTATTTCCTTTGGTGGCGCTCGTTCAGATGCTTCATCACCAGTCGCTCAAATGGTTTCCCCACAGATGTCAGAGCCGCAGCCTTTTTAATGGTTCAGTCTGAAAAAGAAAACATTTGAAGGAGCTAATCAATAAACCAATATCAACAACCGTAGTAAAATGTTACATTCATGCTGATTTTGTACAGTTTCTGTCCTAGTCAGTTAAATAACATTCTGCTGTCATTTTGCACAATCTTCATAGTATTGGTCATTTATTCTCCAGATGCAGTTTTATACTGTTAAAACACTTCACAGTACAGTATTTAATTGTTTATCTATTAACTCTTCACTATTATTCTTATACATTTTTCTAAGGTCCACATTTTTATGACATTTTTTTGTATAATATTTTTTGCTGCTGTAAACACCAGAATTTCCCCATTGTGGGACAATAAAGGGATTTTCTATTCTATATCAATTAAACTAAAGCAGTCTGGCTACCTTAATAATATTAATCTATCCGTTTTTTAAATATTCAAATATAATTGACTGTTTTTCTTTTTTTCTCTCTCTCATGCATTCCATCCCTGCTTCTTTATTATTTGCTTAATGCTTTATTTTGAATACTGCCACCGGAAGTTTTGACTGGTTTTTTTAGGTGTCATTTGCGCATGCGCACTGGGTAGCTCTCTATAAATCATTACTCAGTGGGCATTTTAACGCTGATCTGGTGCAAAAAAAACCCATCATCGGATCATTGAAGGTGAGTGAATCGGAATATTATGAGGGAAGCGATTATTCTGTACGTTCTGCATTTATAAATATGCTGTTTTTTGTGTTAAATATTTAAATTGAATCAACAAAGCCTGTGATGTTTGGGGATTCCATTTGCTGACGGCCTTTAATTGCGTCCGCTGTAGTTTTTCCTCTAAATTTTCTATTTTATTTTTTTCTATTTGATTTGTTGTAAATGGAAAGAGGCTGAGAGGACCGTCACCATGGCAATCAGCGGATCATACATGCAGGTAGCGCTGCTTCTGCTCGCGCTCCAGCTCCTCTGTGTCGGCGCCGCTGAGGCGGACCAGGAGACAGGGACTGTGATCCCAGCCGAAAGTAGGTGGATTTAAGAAAAAAATAAAAAATTATAATAAATGGATAAAAAGAGGTGGAAACGTGATGTTTTTCACCCAGTTTTAATGCCACATCCCACAGGGAGCACATAGTGGGGTGTTTTATGTAGAATAATAAGAATATTTACATTTTAACGGATAAAAATAGATGAAGAAATAAAATAAAAATTAATAAAATGAAGCTGAAAACCCCTTAATGCTTTAAAATTATTAGTTTTCAGAATAACAAACCTATTTGTAAATCTATTTAACACATTTTATTGATTATAATTTAAATTGAATTTCTACCACATAACAATTATCATCATTATTTCTCAAACATATTTACTATATTTAACTCTATGTTGTTTATAAGCTGTTTTTATTTCTGAATACTTGTTTCCAGGTCGTCCATGCGTTGACTGCCATGCCTTTGAGTTCATGCAGAGGGCGCTGCAGGATTTGAAGAAGACAGCTTTTAACCTTGATGCCAGGGTCAGGAAAATTTGAATCTGTTGAGAATACTGGAGCATGAATGTCATTTTTTTTTTTTTCTTTAACCCATCCCATGGCACATATGTTTTTTTGTTATTGTGTTTGCTTTGTGGTTGTTGAATTGCTCTGGACTGAATTCCATATTGGAGCTCCAACGTTTTCCAAACTGTCCCAAGAGTTAGGCCTAAATGGGTCAGAGCATACACTGATTTTGCTTTTTTTTTTTTTTTTTTTTACATTAAAAATACTTTTTTTATTATTGTTGAACCATTTACATTTATTTCCTGCCATATAATATCCATAGTGGATATTTGACTTGTCTTGAAAGAAGTGGTGGAGCTCATTTGAATTGGACGTTTTCTAGCAAATGCCTATCTTTTAAGCATCATTTGCAGTTTGTTTGTTCTTTTAATTTGCAGGTAATTCCAGAAATTTTTAAAGGTATAAGGGGAGGATTTTCCTAAATTTTTTAAAAGACCTGACCTCTCCAATAAAAAAAAAAGCACATGCACAACCCTGTACCCGCTCCTGAGAGGGAACGCCTGTTAAACGTGTGAGAAAGCATGCACAAGCCCATTTCTCTTTGTGCACGTTCTGTTGAAAAGTTGCACGAAAAGAATCTACAATACACTTCTTACACACTTTTTCTCTTACGATCCTCGGCCATTTTCAAAGAACTGCGGTCAGAAAGGCGAGCTTCAAGGACTGCCTGAAACCGTAGCTCACCACAGATAAGCCCAAAAGTGTGCATGCACAGGAAAAGATAGCTAACGGGACGAGGACATACTGTACGACAGCCTTACGTAAACATATCACCAGAGTGATTGGCAATTAGGACTACTTATTTAGATGATCCACCCGGAAATAAAAGATCGTCTTCTATACCTTTAAGTCAGTCAGCTTTATTTATTCCAAAACTAGTTCAAATGTGTGTTTTGGATCATTTTTTCAACAGCCTAGTTGTTGGTTTGATGGTAGTCCTTCTTGTCCTCCCTATTCCCTCAATTTTTGGAGAGAAACAAAAATGTAGCAGTATCAATTATGGCAACCATCACCACCATGCAGGAGAATCTAAAGAACTAGAAATAAGATATTTTTAGGCCATCCATTAAAGCATGTAAATACAATTTACCTGCCAATTGAATTGAGTATTTAGGCTCCTGAAGTTAAATAATCTTATATATACTGCATTTGAAATCAGATTTTCTTTGTGCAAAACCATATTTTAGTTGCAGATAATTTTGCTGATCTTCTCAAATCAAGTGCTAGTATTACCCAATAATACTGCGTACATATTTCTGGGCTTACATATATAGTTTTGCAACCATGCAAATGAGAAAAAAACTCCAAAACTCATTACAGTATTTTTTTTTTTATCTTTTGCATTATCCTTTCACCCTGAGAGCCAGAAAGTTTGAATGCATGATTAAAATGTGAAAAAGAATGCAGATAATGAGCTAAATTTTCCTGAGAGCTACATTTTTCTTTCTGTTGCAGACGGAGACGTTGGTGCTGCGGGCGGAGACGAGGGCTCTGTGCGACTGCATGCCCACCACCACACTGCGCTGAGCCCCGCCAGCCTCAGACGCCCAGACAACCCTCCATCTCCGGCCTCTTAACATTTACAGAAAAACCCATCTGAACTTCTCTAAACAAACAGGCACTTTATTTAATTTGTTTCCCTCATCATCTCATTTGATCTCGGCTCTGATTTCAACCACAGGTGGACATTTTTTTTTTTGTTTTTTTTTGTTTCCTCGTGTAGGACTTTGACATCACCGATGTTTGTGTAGTGAAACGCTCTGAATCTTATAAACTGTCCTCATCGTTTTCTGCTGTCCTCATCTTTGGAGCATAAATGCGTTTTTCTACTTTCTAGTAACTGACTGAAAAAAGTAGACACAGTAGGATGCATCTGTATATGATATTGTTGTATGAGGTTACTGTTTACACACTTCTACCTGTAGCATCAGAGTTTATTGAACTGCTCATTAGCAGCAGTTTAACATAATAATTTAAAATAATAATATAAATGTAATTTCAATAATCCTAATTAGTTGACTCAAAGCCTGTAGGAGGAAGGGGGTTGGGTCATTTAAACTGGAAAGTTTTTTTGCTCCATAGTTAAGTATGGGGATGATTTTACTTTAGTGAAGATATTTTTTAGGAAGACCATCCGTAGGTCTTGTTTTAGCACAGCACTGTAGCATGAATTTATAGCACTTTCATTTAGGTGGTAATAAAGCTGACGTGTGCACACGATGCGAACGCGCCGGGATACGTCTGCCTGCGGACCTCTGCTAGATTTTGAAGGCGTCTGCAGGGAAAGCTATGAAGCAGACCCGGATCGGATCAGATGAGCTGCGGCATCAGCAGGGAGGGAAGGAAGGGATGAAGAGAACGGCAGCAGAGAGCAGAAAATCCTCTTACTGCTGCTCCTTTATCAGCAATGTACTCTGCAAGTCACAGGAGGCTCCATTTTACAGTCTTAATGTTGTACCTATGAATAAAAACATAAAACATGCATCTTTTTTCCATCATTGTTTCCCTCATAGCAGGGGTCTAATTTGTAGAGAAAGAAAATATGAATCGGTGACCTTTTAATAAATGAAGTTGAACATTTTCTCTGCAAAAAAATGCAGTAATATAGCAAAAGACTTAAAACAAAAATTAAGTAGTTATATATCAAAATACAGTAACTCAAATGTCAGTTCTTTACTTACTGCTTTGAACAGGTGCATTTCAATTATACATTACATATATATATATATATTTTTTCTCTCAGGTAGTAGAATTAGCCCCAAATGCTTATCAGTGCTCCTCAAAGAGTTCTGTCTCCAAGTACTTTTATGGAAAGTTAAGTGGAAGGAAAAAAGGTGCAAAAGTAATATGGAGTGTGAAAGCCTTTTTGAGTTTGGAGGAGATTCATTTACATCTCGGCTGGAGTTTCAAGAGCTCCCACCCCTAGAGACACATTGAGGATCTGAACTACAGCTAAAATGTTATCTTAAATCCTTATGAGGACTGAAATGTTGCACAGTGATACAAATTAAAATAAGAGATAAGATAGACTTTACTGATCTCACAGAGGAGAAATTCACTTGCCACATCGGCTCAATATTCAAAAGAAGGCGCCAAAAGAAGGAAAAGGTGCATGGGGTATATACAGTGCATCTATATATCTATATATCACAGTTGAAGACTCTTATTTAACAGGATTATTGCGCAGGGTATTTTATAGTGATTGCACATTACTTATTGCACAAATTATTGCAGTTATAGTGTTGCATTGTGAAGTCTGATGGCAGCAGGGATGAATGATAGTGTATGTCTTTCACTAAAGGAGCTGCTCAGCTCCTCTACAGTCTGGTGCCGGTGGGGTGAAAGGTGTTGTCCATGATGGATGTAAGCTTGGACAGCACCCTCCTCTCAGCCACTTCCTCCACCGAGTCCGCCCAGGACAGAAGTGCTGCTTCTCACCAGCTTATTCAGTCTGCAGTTTATTCAGTCTCTACATTCTGCATTTTATTCTCCAGGGTTTGCTGTACCTACAAGCTTTATGGAGAACTTCTTTTACCTTCTTCCAGAAGGTACCCACTGACAATGCCAAGGGTTTAAACTGTTACAACCCAAACCTCATAAAGAAGTTTTATCAAAAGGAAGATGGGAGAAACAAGACCAAAGACTGTAGATGAACTAAAGGCTGCTATCAAAGCAACGTGAAGACATTTCCTCTAGATAAAAAGAGGCTAATAGGATCATCACCACAGCATACATTAGATCATATATGCAGGTAGAAGTGATTCATGTAAAAGGATCCCCAACCAGGCATTAAGTTCATGTACTGAAGTAAAGACATACTTATCAATAAGCTGACAAGTTCTTATTGAAATGTTTCTTGGTTGATAGTTTTAACTGATTTTATTTGCAGACTGATTGAAATAAAGTAAGGACAGATGTATTTGAAACCAGCATCTTTGTGTTTTACATGGAAACCCAACATAACTAAATCCCCCTAAACCCCGATGTATGAACACAGTGGAGGCAGGAGAGGTCTGCGGTGTGTTTTTAGTATTTATTTATGGAAGAAATGACAATCATTTAGAGTGGAGGGCAGCCAAAATGATGACAAGGCAGTCAGCAGAGGAGGTATGGGTGAGAATATACCTTGATACTCAGGGGGGTTAGCTGGGAGATCATTTCAATCAGGGTGAAGAACACATGAAATCCACTAAAAATCACAAGCGTTATAAGCTAATTTGATGAAACTCCATAGAAAGAAGCAAATGGCACTAATATCAAAGTCATTGTATGGAAAGATGTAGACCTAATTAATTTCATTCCATCAGCAATGGTAATTTCCAAAGCATACCGCTTTTATTGCTTTGAATCAAAACAACCTCAGATGTTAGAAAAACCTGCTTTTAATTAGTTCAACCTCAGTCCAGAGGGTTCTAGGAATTGTTTCCACCAGTGCAGAGCATGCCCTAGCCTCGGCAGCAGGTACGGTGCATCATTGAGCATCAGTTATCAAGTATTGTCAGTTTCTCTTCTTTTTTTAATTTGACTGGGACATTTTAACACATTAAAATGCTTTGACTGAACATGTCATTCGTTCAACCATAACAATGGATGTTTATTTAAGGCTGTTTTCTTTAAGAACTGCTCTGAGGGAAACCCCATTCATCCTGCCTTACACTCTAACCAGCTTCCTCATCCCTGCATGTCCCCCTTCCAAGGCTTTAATAGTGAAAAGCAGCCATGAAACCTTCTGTGGTTCCTTTAACCTCACATTTATAAAACATTATGCGTTGTTATAACATATTAACGTAATTAAGACAAACTGAGATGAGTGTTTTTACCTCAAACATGGATGTCAGTTGAGGGATTTCTTTGGTGTCCACATAGAACAAATACAATTTTTATTCTGAGGTTAATCGCCCTGTGAGGTAGTTATATTTTCAACTAAATTAAAGCTCCAACATAAGATAGAAACGTTTTTATAATTTGCATTTACAGCAGTGATCACCACCAGGAGGAGAAAAAGCAGAAAACATGATTCATTACTCCTGTCAGGGTGTTATCTGCACCAGTAGGAGGAGCCCCAAGTACAGGCAGGCTGTGTCGCAACACTGCAGCACTCTCTGTTTCCCTAAAAGCTATCAGGATTAGATGCTGTTAACAGATGCAAGCAGAGGAAAACCGAAGAACCCTGCCGGCCACTGAAGAGCCTGCAGTGACCTGGCAGGATTCTCCACCCGGAGGCAGCACTGTGGAAGCGAATCCCACCTTTTTTTGTTGTTGCTGCACCACACTGAGCTCAGCTGTCCTGCTGAGGCAGCTTCAACCTGCAGAGACGCCTACTGGAAGAACTGATGGGGGTTTAAACTCAATAACTTTCGCTTCTTTGATTTCTTCCCTCCATCCAGCTTTTCTTTCATCGTCTCCTGTAGGATCCGACTGCATCGACAGCCAGCTGTTAGAAAGTCTCCAGAGGCCACAGAAGAGTCAAGTCCTCTAAACTTCAACTCCCTCTAATCCACCATTTATCTCAGCTCAGCATTGCTTTCAGCAGACCACAGAGGCCCCTGCTCATTGTTATTTTGTGGAGCTTCTCTAAGCTTATCACAGGGAAAACAATGGCAGGTGGTTCTCAGTAGCTACAACACAACTGCTTCACCTTTAAAATATTGTAGTTACAGTGGCTGCATAATAAAATTCTGCATTATTTCAATTAATTTATCAAGCATAACCAAGTTGCTATTTCTGATAAGGCTCTATATCCAGGGTGCTAGGGTATCAGGGGCCGGCCAAAGTGCTCAAATACCAACAAATCTATTTGCTTCCTAAGCTAGTCTTATATTTCTCCCTGGTTTGTCAAATTTATGAAACTTGAGTCGCCAAGGTGTGTAAGAGTGATGTAAGAAATCATGATTTTACTCAACAACTGGCTGTTAATGCTGTACTTCATCACTGAGCATGATATTTCAAAATATATTTCAAGAATGATTAAACAATTTTACTAATTATGAAAGCACCCATACTTAAAACATTGTTGTTAGTTAGTGGGATGGGTGTGGGCAAACGAAGACAACATCTCTTGTTATAATCCTGGGAACAGTGGGAGGGACTCCCCCAGGGCCTACATGGACAAGAACTGCCCTAGGTAACAAAGCTCAAAGCAAACTTAATTTAGAACAGGAGCGTAAAGTAAAAAAAACTCAAACCTTTTAGACAAAAAAGAGAACTTCGAGTTATCAAGCAAAAACATGTGTTAATTTGAATAATTTGCATTCATTAATCCGTGTAATCTGCAAACTCTTTTAGTTTGCTGATCTGAAGGTTCTGTTCTCCTTAAGGAAAACCTTTATTTCTGGGTATATTCATGATCTTGCTCGAGTAACATCATACAGTCCTGGTTGGGACAGTGCTCTCCCCACAGCAGTCTATATAGTGTGTGAGAATGTGAGTAAAGCTGTCAGAGGTGTCCCCATGGCTTCATGCTAACACCTCCTGCTCCATGCAAAGAGCGAGAGAAACACTATCTCCTCCCTTCTTACCATTCTCCCTCATTACCCTCTGTGGGTTTAGCACAGGATGGCTAATATACCAGATGGAAACTGCTATATGTTTGTTTCTTATGTACCAAGCTGCAACTTTTGAACAGGTTTATTCAGAAATCGCTCCTTACACCCTCGAAGAGTAACAGGGGCACTGGTGCCTTCTTTTAACAGGGTGTCTGTGTTGGTTTTAGCTTAAACTGCTGTGTTTCTTATCTCTTTTAGAAAACATGGTGATGAAAATATTTAAAAACGGAAATTATTATAAATTACAATGAAGTGGCCTCCAGGATCTTCAGAATGTAAATAAATGGGTCTGAAGCTCATCACAGTAATGCATGCAAGGAGTTTCACCAAACAGGAGATGTGCTGAGTTCATCATTAGAACTAGAAGAAAATTGGTTCATAACATAATTCCTTTATTACATTTAATTGATGTTTATTGGGATTTATGTGCATGTGTGAATTACTAGACCTACATGTAACTTGTTTAAGTTATATTTGTCACAGTTCTGGTGCTGTTTTCTTTTGAGTATTCAGTTTTACTTTGCGCCACGTTTTCTAGTTTTAGTGGTTTAATTCTTATTTTGTTGTGTTTTCTGGTTATTTTCAGGTTTTTATTTGTTGCCCTCTGCTGCCCTCTTGTGTTCTCCTTTTTCCCTAGCTCCTTTCCTGTTCTGCTCTGTTCACACCTGCTCCCAATCTGTTCGTTAGTCCTCTCTTTGTTTCAGTCTCCCATAAATACTCTCTCTGTGCAGTTCTTCAGTGCTGGTTCCTCGTATAACTTCCTCCAACTCCGTCTCTCTGAGTCTTCCTCCTCGTGATTGTTTATATTGTTTATTATACATCAGATAATAATGAACATTGTTGGTTAAAAGCAGGTTATTAACTCTATTAAAAAATATAAAAAAATAATAATCTTTTCTCTTTTAAAATGAATTGTAAAATTAATTGTTCACATTTATTTCACAGTGTTTGCAACCTTCCCACTCATGCACACTCAGCTTGTGTTGCTACATCACCGCTAGAACATAAAGGCACTGATCTAGAAAGGCAAGCAAAGTGATGCATTGCGCATGCTCAGGCTGCAGCCAGTCCAATCCACTGTAGATGATGCGCTGATCTAATAAAAAAATAATCTTCTGTCTTCCATAGTATTTTTAGAGGAGAGAATGTGAAGGCTAAGTCGACAGCACGAGGATTTCTGCAGGATGCCTACAGCTTCTCTTCCTCCTGCTTCTCCTGCTCACTGAGGAAGAGGAGGAGGCGGAGGAAAAGATGCAGCCTCATCAATAGCAAACTAGTTCAGATCCAGTTCAAACTAGTTGTGCTTTATTAGGCTGTGAGAGGATCCGCAGTTTTCCACTAAAAGCTACGGATAGAGAGCAGATTCAAATGGAGAGAGCTACACTTTCACAGCTTTATACAAACCATGAACCCCTTCAGTTTGTTCATTCAAATCGTCCTGCTCAGCATTTATTATAACTACTCAGTCAAAATTCAGCTCAATAAATAGATCATTAATAATTCATGGACTATATGAAAAATAATGAATGAATTATTAAAGATTTATCTGCGTAAGTTGCACCGGTAGCCTAACGGTTAAATACCCCCAGCATGTGAGGGGAGACGACAAAGGAGTCGCTCCAGCATCAGCATCCTCATCCTCATCCAATGCAGCGCTGCCCCATTAAAGCTGCAGGTGATTAATTCGCAACCAGTCTACAATAGATACTGATGGACGGGGTAGCAAGGGGAAGATAATCTCCATGTAGGGAGCGATTTCTGGCAGCGGCAGCATGGCGAGGCGGGCTGAAGCCATGGAGGGATCACTGCAGTGCAGCAGAGCTGTCACTCACACAGCCCCATTGTGAGTCTGGATTGTATATGCAAGTCTCCTCTGGGTTCTGTTTATCAAGAGATCCGGCTCTGGTATGGATTTAAAGAACATCAGGGTTAAAAAAATAAAACAACAACATAAACTAAGATAGTTTTTTCTTTATGTTTTAGAGTAATAACATACAAGGAAAATAAAGTATTTTCTGTGTAAATTTGAATAAATAAATAAAAACTATTGGAACCCATCAAAGCTTTTCCTTTAAATACAAACACAATAAAACGCCAAGCATAAGCCATTGATGTACAGAAGTGTCACACAGAAAATTATGTATCAGATAATCTATTTTTCATAAACTGACAAGTTTAGATTAAGCTAAAAAAAAGAAGGGCAATAATTTACACATTTTGGTACATTAATGTTAATCTGCTATTAAACTCATGACGTCATTACATTTTGTAGGCTTTACCTATTAAATTATGCATGCAGATATTTTATTTTGTCTTTGCCATAGTCTATCAGGACACAAGCAAATCTAACAGCATGAGTTTTAATCATGCCAAACATATGATTGGGTAACCTGCACAGAGGCTGAGACCGATCCCCTGATTGTACAGCAGACTGATAAAAAAATAAAAACAATTGAGCGGCTGCCAGTGGACCAAATTTACCAGAGGGGCCAAGATGGGGCCAATGTTTTTTCAAGGAAAAAAAAATAAACAAACAGACAAAACAACAACAACAAAACCCTCAAAAAGTAATAACTTAAATTTTATATTATTATCAAAATTAACCTGTAAAAAGGGGAATTGGTCCAACAGACTATTCAGTTATAGTTTCTGTGCCAGCATACATTATTAAAGAGGTATTATTATGTCTTGAATACAGGTGCAATAACAGGGGCTATGGCTCCCTGTCTAGAACAGCCTTGGTTGCAGCAATGCAAGACTTTTAAAGGGTTCAGAACTCTAATTAAAATTTATTTAGATAGTTTATCGAAATATTTAATTACATAGATTAATAATTTTGTCGATTTATGCTGTGCAAATGGTATAAAAGCAGAAAATATAACCATATGTATAATCTATTTTGAGAAATGAAGGGATCCAAACATTTAGTGTTTAAAACAAAGCTATGATTTTATGGTTTAATGACTTTAATTAGCTGTAACAATGATTGCACTTTTAATCATTGGAATATTAGAAAAAGGTAACACTTTTAATCAAGTGCGTATCATTTAATTGATATCATATGTGTTTGAACTTTTTAATTAAATATGTATTTCAAAAACAGACGTTATTGGATTTTTTTAATTGAGGCACATTTTCTCTTTCAGATATATTGATTGTTGGCTTTAATGCAGACAAATAGCCTTAGTTATTTGATTGCATTTTTATATAAATAACATTAGATATTTCTCCCCTCCTAATGAGTCCACTTTGTCTAAAATCCTCCCTCCACGGCAGAAAGCAGCTTGTTCAGACCTGACACATCCCTCCCCTCCTCCCTCTGCATCCGGCATCCAATCTGAGTGGACGGGCCCCCGCCCCCAGCCCCTGAACCCGCGTCATTACCCGCCCCTGCTCCCATATAAAACCGGCCCGGATCGCGCCGGAAAGTCTTGGTCTTCAGAACCGCTCAGGGTTGCAGCAGAGCATCCCCCCTCCTCCGTCTTATCCCTCCCCTTTCCATCATCCTCTCACTGTTTTTTAAGGAGAATCTTTATTTTAATTTTTTTTAACGCATCATCCATCCTCACCCATCCGCCTCTCTCCCAGTACTGAGCCGTCTGTCTGCAGGCCACTTGCATGCATTGTTCGTCTCCAAAAATGGTTTGCGAGACTAAAATCGTTGCGGACGAGCACGAAGCTATAGCTGGGACCAAAAAAGAGCCGATGATGTGGGGCTCCCCGGCGGGCCCCAAGGATGTGAGAAGGGATGCGGTGTTTATCCGCGAGTTCGAGCGCGCGGACAAGGAGGAAGTGCTGCGCATCTTCCACGAAGGGATAATGGAGAGGATCCCTAACACTGCGTTCAGGGGGATCTGGCAGCAGCCCAGGACCCAGTTCTTATATGCCTTTCTGACAGGTGAGCCTCTAGCAANACTGAGCCGTCTGTCTGCAGGCCACTTGCATGCATTGTTCGTCTCCAAAAATGGTTTGCGAGACTAAAATCGTTGCGGACGAGCACGAAGCTATAGCTGGGACCAAAAAAGAGCCGATGATGTGGGGCTCCCCGGCGGGCCCCAAGGATGTGAGAAGGGATGCGGTGTTTATCCGCGAGTTCGAGCGCGCGGACAAGGAGGAAGTGCTGCGCATCTTCCACGAAGGGATAATGGAGAGGATCCCTAACACTGCGTTCAGGGGGATCTGGCAGCAGCCCAGGACCCAGTTCTTATATGCCTTTCTGACAGGTGAGCCTCTAGCAAGAAAAAAAAAAAAAAAAAAAAAACACTTTATCACACAAACTTCATCCTGGTTCAGCTCATAAATATATTTCCCGGTTCTAGATTCAGCCTCTGCAGATACGCAGGAATCTGTTGCAGCTTTAAAGTTTGCCAGGCGGCGCTCTGCTCCGGCATGCAGGGCAACAAAAGACATGCCGGGCGCATGGAGCATGTGTGCAGAGGCTGATGGTGCTGATGCTGTGATCACATGTGACTTCACAGGAGGGAGTCAGTTTGAGGACCGGCCCATAGGGGGCGCCAACTACTCCAAAAATTAAAACAATAGAAATAAGAGATAAAGGGATACAAATCACTCCAATACGCCTCTGACCTTTTTCTCGTTTAGTTATTTAAATTAAATCCTCAGCATCAGAGGCGTAGTCAGAAATTTTTTAGGCTCTAACCAATGTACACTGAGGGGGGGCCGAATGCAGGTAGGCACCAGAACCTCACAGTCAATCTATGCTGTTCCCACAGGAATATTAACGAGCAAAACCTCAATTTCTTCTAAATAAAGATTAACTATTCTTTCCGAAAGCCTTTGCTAACAAATAAGCGCATATATTTAAATAAAAGGTATAGTTGATAAAATTCTTTCTGGGGTAAACATCTTTTCCATTGTCATTTCTTACCTACTTTTATCAATAATCATTCTGCATAAAATTGATATTTACAAGTACTAATATCTACATAGGGCTGCTCAGTGGCACAGTTGGTAGCACTGCTGCCTTGCAGCAAGAAGGTTCTGGGTTTGATTCCAAGCCTGGGGTCTTCATGGTCTGCATGGAGTTTGCATGTTCTCCCTGAGCATGTGTGGGTTCTCTCTGGGTACTCCGGCTTCCTCCCACAGTCCAAAAACATGACTGTTAGGTTAATTGGCTTCTC